TACTCCCCAACAGAAGAAACGCGACTAGCAACCATGCTATGCTTAGCAATCAACTGTATTATATGGCCAACTGGATTGACAGCCAATGTCTTGGTCTTCATCACTGTTTTAAGGAAGCCGCAGTTGAGAACCGTCTATAACACGTCGGTTCTTTACCTTATGGCTGCAGATCTTTGCGTAATCGTCTTGACGCAAACCGCGAACATCGCTTACCTGGTCAACAAGATTCTCACCAACGACTATTCCTGCTCTTTATTCTTTGTTTATAATTTGTTCACATGGTGGTGTCATGGATTATCTTTTTTCACGTTGTTGATCATCAGCATTGAGCGATATTTCGCCATTTTGCATCCATTTAAGTACGAGGCGTCCGTAACGAAAACCCGAGTATCTCGTGTTGTCCTGATATCTTGGATGCTTTGGTCGATAGTAGTGTTAAACTTACATCTTATTCCATATGTTTCACACACAACTCGTCTTATCACCACTGTAAGCTTGGTGTTGCCTAGTAGTATTTCAACACTAGTGATTTACTTCAAAATATACCGAGAAATACGGGTAAATATAGTACACATTGACCTTCCAGGAAATACTCCACCTCTTGTTAACTACGATCGCAAGTCATCTAAAACGATAGGACTGATAATCGGAGCGCAAATAGCAAGTTTTATGCCTGGCATTTGTTTAAACATCGTGCACGCATTTTCACTTATACAAGAAGATCTACTCATACATGGTATTTTTCCTTTTGCTGAGACTGCAGCTTTGATGAATGCTCTTTTGGATCCTGTGATATATTTCTGGAGAAGCAGAGATGCTTGTAGAAGTATTAAAGAACTCTGCTGCAACTGTCTAGTCGTCAAACCTAATGTTCGTTCTTTGCAAACGCAAAAAAACTTGACTTTTTCTAATATACAACTCAAGTCATTTCATAAATCCCTCACCGTGAATGAGATCATCAGCCGTCCTTAAACAATCAACTGAGTCCTGCAGGGTTGGCAAGTGTTAATTATAACGTTTAGTATGACTAGGATACTGACTTCTCATAATACTGGCTCATAGTCACTTTCAGTTGTTATGGCATACTAAACATGTCAAATAGACTTTAATTTGGAAGAAAGTCACAGGAAACAAACCTCACAACACTTCAATCCGGCTAATGTTAAAAAAAGAACCGTTTTAGTCGTTCCATGATATCAGCGTTTTGAGAAAATGAGGGAGCATGTTAGCTCCTTTTCTGTCAGGTTCACTTACGCAGTTTCCACATCCTTTTCTGTACAAATAACCATATTTCAGTATTACTATATCTTGATAAATGCACTGAACTGCATAGTGTAAATAAAGAATCGAGTCGAATTGAACATTATTTCTTTACAGAGGAAAATATTCAACATCAACAAACTTAAAAGTTACACAGGGCTTTCTGGGCTTCATTTCATCATTGAAGTTTGTTGTTATTTGCAGCCTTGTTTTGATGAGGCTGCAAAACTCCTCCCACCCATAAATTTGGGACATGTGGTTGCCCTTATCACGGTTCACAGAACTTTATTTGTTAACAAAGGTCTTTTGTTAAGGTTAATTTAGTCTAGATATTAAGTTCTGTTTGCCAAATGAAGAACGGATACTTCCTTTTTATTTTCTTCCCCGACTAAGTTTGATAAGTCAAGAAAGGTGTCTTTATTGCGCAGTTGTGCCTGTGAAGCTGGCTGGTTTAGAACTCGACTTTTTTCGGCGGCGCGAAGCGAGCAGCGGCTCAATTTGACTATTCACTATTTTTTTCGCGTCTTAACAGCCTAAACAAGACCAAAAGGTGTACACGATAAATCCCGCCCGCTACGCATACTGTAGCCAAGTTCACAGCAAAAGACTCGCGTTTTTCTTTCTCACTTTATTCGAACTTTTTTGTCTCAAAGTTATTTTTAGTTTTCTTGGCTATTTATTCGTTCAGGGACGTGTGCCACGAAGACCTAGAGCGAAGGCTTCACGTCTTGTATGCACAACACTGGCGTTTCCTTTCGGTTTCACAACAGTACGCTGGGAACAACAGCAATATCTACAGGAGAGAACTTTCATGTAACATTCTCGAAAATTCCTATTAAGCACACTGTATGTTAGAGGATTTAAAGCACTGCTCAAAGCGATTAAAAAATGAAGTGTTACGTAAACCTCTCGAGAAAAGACCCAGCTTCTGCGAATCGTATCCACGAGGTTAATCAACAAAACTGGAATCCAACAGAGATTAAAACTCACGACTACCACAAACAGAGCCCGCGCGATTTTAATTTCTTGCACGCTTACCGAGCGGAATCGCATTCCAGGAAGTTGAAATTTGTAATTATGCCTGCGAACTGTTTTGAAAATCATGGTGTAGCAGTAAAACATTATGCAGCTTGGAAATCCTATGTAAAGTAACAGACCATATCCCAGGAATGCACTATTATTGACTGGAGGAGAGCAGACGAAGCTGTAAGGACGAAAAACCATTTTGCCACCGCTCAGGAAATAAGGAAAAGGCGCAATCATGGAGGACGCCCAAGATACAAGTATCATCATCATGGTTTTCTTTTTGGTGAAGTAGCGGTGATACTTGTCAGGCTTGACGATTCTAAAATATCTGTTCACTGCCATCAAGACCAACGTGTGAATCGAAGCAACAGTCAAGATTGTAGTTGTGTAGCCTTGAAATTGGCAAGTCAAATCGTTAAAGGGCCACTGAGATGTCACCAGTGTAGGAATATCTAAAGGCAATGCAAGTAACACTCCAAACAACAAGTCCGAAACAGCGAGTGATGCTACAAACATATTTGGAATTGTCCGCATCCGACGATACAGAAACATTACCAGGAGGGTCATAAAGTTTCCAGCAAACAAAAGCAGCAAAACAAGCGTGTAAAAACCAGTTTCCAGCATGACTGTTGTTTTGCTTCTTGCCTTAAACTCTTTTAACATGTCCTCTAGTTGCTCCAGCTGTTGCTTATCCGTGGAATGAATCATTTTTATCCACTGTCAATCCAGCCACTGAGCGACTTCTCTATGGTGAATAATGAAGCTAAGTGTAATATTCATTTGACCTACACGACTATTATGTTTCGGCAATTTTAAAACGCTTGCCCGCAAGGTCTGCCCGCTTTGGGACCTTTCAGAACAATAGAATTTTAATCGTAATCTATTCAACAACATTCATCTTCATGCTCAGTTGTATTGAGGTATGGGAAAATGATTGATCAGCCGACCAAACCAAGCTGGGAAAGCTTGGCTTAGCTTTAAGGGTAGTTAATAATAGGACCCACGCGATTTTCTGGGTGGAAGGGTGTGCTGTTCATCCCTTCGTGGCTCCGCTGAAAACTGAGCAAGAATCAATGATTTCCACGCCAAATCAGTATTTTTCATCAGGAGTTACGTAATCGCACGTGAAACCGTTTGACTAGCATAATATTTCTCCCTGGGTATTGTTGCCCCGGCAGGAAGGCATCCTTGTAGCTCGCGCACACAGTGGAACCAATGGGTCATAAAAATTTGGCCGTATTACCGGGGTAAGGTCAAATTTCATGACTTAAGTCAGCCGGAATGACAAATGCACCATACATCGCATTTGCACTTCTTGATCAACTTTTCTCTTTAATAAACAACCGGAAGGTAGATATCGCGTACGGTAAAGGCAAAACTACGTAAAACTTTTCTTTAATACATAAAACACTGCCATTAATCCGCCACAAATGCATTTTCAGTGAACTGTAGTCTAGAAAACAATACAACCACAGGTTCGGTTTGCTAGAGATCAGTGAAATTGACATGTCACAGGCATTTTAATCGAACAAGTGGCCTTATTAACAGGGTAAAATTATAGAAAGATTCTGCTGTTTGGGAGTTAAAAGTGTGGCCGTTGGCCGTATTAACGGTTGAACGCATTAACGAGGGGTTTTTTTAAAGGAAAATGTATGACCGTTTTGCCGAGCCAAAAAGAAGTGGCCGTAATAACGAGGTGACCGTATTACCGAGGTAGCCGTGAGGCGGGGTTCCACTGTTTAGAAAAGTACTTACAGTTAAAATATACAGTCAATATAATAGAACTCGATTTGCTTGATCAGGGGCTGCATGGAATCGTTAGGTAATGATGACGTTTCTATCGTTCACGCCCGCAAGTAAGAGGTGGTTAGGATGACGTAAAAGAAAAACGCTTAGGTTGATTTTGTGACACTTATGTAAGTCATACTTCAATACTCTATTGCGTTACGTGGTATCAGTGACATTCAGTGTGGAGCAGCGTTTTTGAAATTTAAGGACCAAAAGATACTCGTTAAGCGCAGATGAAGTTAGAAGGTGTGTATAACTGTGTATATATAAACACTTGGAGAGTTTGTCAGACACGAATTCATCATTCACAAATCTTTGATTGAAAACAATTTGCCAGACCAAGAGCCCATAACTCCCGGAGCTAGCAACTTCCATGCACTCGTATCCATGCGTTTTCACCGACCAGTTTATTTTTAGAACGGTTTTTGGAGCGAATTTTGAATATCTTTTAAATTCCACAAATCAGTCAGCAAAACGTACAGACCTAAAAATGACATTCTTTGCCTTTTGATAACGTTTAGTTTTCCTTTTTGATATCTTATACTTCGAATGCGTTCACAGACATGGTGGGGATTCCATTTTCGCGGGAAAAAGTGCCGTAAAATGTGTCTAAAAATAAAATGGTCCGTAAAACGCCCGTGACATAGGCCTAGTATGGGAGTTGATCGCTCACGGCCAGACACTCTTTCCCTCTCTTTGGGGGGATAAGCCAGTCCACAAACAAGAAGGACAACTGAATCAAGGCTAGCTTATCACTAGTAGAATGATGGACGGTTAAAAAAATTCGCCGACAATTAAATTCTGGTCTGACTCCCTGCTCGCAGATGTCCTTCTATAAAGTTTAAAACTGACCAGAACGCGCGAGTGTGAGTCGATCAAATCTTTTAAATCCAAAGTCTTACTTTCCGGCTAATAAAATGAACTGTATGTAAAAAAATGAAAGACAAATAGCGAAAAATTCCAACTTCTAATCAGATCTTTTCTGATTTTTAAATCAAACTGTGTAAATCGAACTGAATCAGTGCATGGAACCTCGTGTTGCCTGTTTTTATCTCACTTGTGCTATGGAATTTGTGTGAAAATCTTCATTATATTTCAAAGAGCTACACAATCACCAGGACTACAATTGACCGACAACATACAGAGCGGGGGCAGCTGTAGTGTCAACCATTACTAGTTTTTAATGATATGATGATAAGGGATTGAGAGTCGCTCTTACCCTGAAACACGCCCAGGCCAGGCGAAAATTGGTTGGAGACTAGCTTCAAACCCGACTCACTGGACTGCGAACTCAGACGTATTTCCGGTCGTCGCTTCTCTCCAGCCGAAAATTAACTGAGGGGAAGGGGTGGCTCATCCTCGGAGAGCCAGGGGCAGTCAGTCGGGTCGGTAGAAAAGGCGCGATGAAAG